GGGGATGTGGGAGCACATCTGGGCTGAGGAGGGACTGGAGTGGTGGGAAGGGTAGACCCCAAGAAGGCTGGAGCCTGGAGAGGACAGGCAGGGTGGGGAAGAGGCAGGGGAGCCCAGGCTGGCTGGCCTGGACTCGGTGAGGGAAGGAGAGGACTCAGGAGGGACCCTGGCGGCCTGCTGGTGGCTGAGGAGTAAGCTGAGGGTGCCCGTGTAGCAGTCTGAGCAGGAGAGTGTGAAGGAGGCAGAGGTTGAGAGGAGCAGCTGAGCCCAGAGCCCCCAGCCTCTATCCTCAAGGCGCGCCTGGCCTAGCTAGAGGCAGAAGCCAGTGCAGAAGGGCAGGTGGGCGCAGGGCCCACGGTGACCCAGCAGCAGACAGGGGGCATAGGTTGCAGTGGTTAAAAGATCCTAAACCCAAACTCACTGGAGCCCACACCTGCTCCACCACCTGCTAATCCTGTGACCCTGGGCAAGTTCACCTCTCTGTGCCGCCTTTCCTCACGGGCAGGTGCAATTCATAACAATACCCCTTTGGGTTGTGGCGGGGATTGAATGAGTTAAGCATGTGAAGCATTAGAACAGGCCTGATGCCCCAGAAGGAGCCACAGACGCATTTGCTCTTGTTTCTATTTCAAAGTACATCCCAGGCTCTCCTCCCAACAGCCCACAGAGGTGGGCAGGGCAGGTGACATTATCCCCAACTTCCAGTTGGGGAAACTGAGGCTTGGCAAGGCTACAAGTCCATGGTTGCCGGGAGGATTAGCACTTAAGTAGTAAGCAGGCCCTACCCTGCTGGGTTTCCAAGGCAAGATGAGACCAGGCTTGTCGAGGGGGGTGGCAGATGGGCCTCTGACACCTCAGGTTCCCTGGGGTCTCCCACCCAAGCCCCAGGCGGGCACGAAGAGCCCTCACACTCACACCCTGGCCCCTTCCTTCATCTAGCTGGCCCCACGCCTCCCCTAGGAAACCTTTGCTAATTGGCTCCACCTCTCTCGGATCCCTCCTTATCTCACCATCTTCAGTTGGAACAATCAGCCCTTGGAGGTGCCATCTGAGTGCTGAGTGAGGGCCCCAGAGAGGCGCAGGGAGCCGATGAGCTGCCACTTCCCAGGGGAGCCCCAGAGGGGGTGCGATGGCGGTCCTGGGGCCTCCGGGCCTGACCCTGGCCCTGTCACCGAAGCCTTCCTGCTCTCCCAGGTGCAGGCCCTGGAGCAGCGAAACCAGCTGCTGGAGACGCGCTGGAGCTTCCTGCAGAGCCAGGGCTCCACTGCCTTTGACCTTGGGCACCTCTACCAGAAGTACGAGGGCCGGCTGCAGGAGGAGCTGCGCACAGTGAGCCAGGAGCGGGGGCAGCTGGAGGCCAACCTGCTGCAGATGCTGGAGAAGGTCGAGGAGTCTCGGATCAGGTAGCGTGCGCCCTCGGGGGCGGTGGGCAGGGACTGTGGGTGGGGACCAACCTGCACTCAGAAACAAGGTCCAGGGCACTCAAGCCAGAAAAAGAGGAAGCTTCTTTAAGAAACATTTCTTTACTCCAGACATACTTACGGAGGACCTACTATGTGCCGGGCAGTATTCTAGGTTTCAAGGGAATATAGCAGTGAACCCACAGTTCCCCACCCCCAAATAGTGACTCTTACACTAGGTCAGGCTTGTGATTGACAGCTAACCCCTGGGCACCATCGCAGCCACTGTCCCCTGTCCCCTCCCCTTGTGTCCATAAACACTCTTGCTCTCCGCTCACATCCCACTGCCACGTCCCGATAGGCTTGGATGGGCTGGCAGGGAAGGGAGCGGGTGCAGGCAGAAGACGGAGGCAGTGGGTTTTGTTGGAATAGAGAAGCAATCATCTATAGGTGGTGTGTGCCGACCTCAGTGGGGTCCAGAGAGATGGGGGAGACACAGCCCCAGCCTGCACTGTGCTTTTAGGACTTTGGGGGACAAGCTGGCCGGCAGGAAAGCTCAGTGGTTAAAGACCTAGTCTAGGTATAGACTGAAAGGGACTTACTCCCTGCCCCTCCCACCCTAGCTTTGTGACCTCTGTCCAGTTGTTTAACAGGAGAACCTCAGTTTCCTCCTGTGTGGGTTGATACCACCTGGGGCTGGTGTGAGGAGCAAGTCGAGAGTTCAGTGTGGCAATGAGTGGCCACCCTCCTACCCCTAGAAGGCTGAAGTGCCCGCACACAAGGCCAGGCTTGCTGGGCTGAACTGGCCAGTCTAGAAAGGCAGACCACGCACATGGGTGGCTCAGAGGAGAGAGGACCCTCTCTGATCAGACAGTGGCCAGGGCTTCACGGACACGGAGGCTGGGCAGGGCAGAGAGGCCCTGCCCCTGCAACCCCTCCCCTTCACCCCCTTCTCAGGTCTGGTTTCCAGCCAGGGCGAGGGGTGGACAGGCTGAGGCACAACCCCCTCTCCACCTCCAGTGTTTGGGTCCTGCCCCAAGCCCCGCTGACCTGAGCAGCCAGCAGACAGGGCTGGAGGGTGTGGGCAGCCTGTCCAGGGACCCGGGCTGGGGCTTAGCTTGCCCGTCGCCTCTCCGCATCACCTCCTCTGTTCAGGCCACAGTCAGAGGGCATGGTCACCAGGACGCGCCCCCCACTCTGGGGCCTCCTTTCCTCACCTGTGAGTCTGCCGGGAACTTTCCAGCCAACAGGCGTGATCTGCAGCCCTGGCCAGGACTGGTCCTTATGGCTGGGCCCCTCCCTGGCCTGGAGGTCACCTCTACTCCAGCCCTGCTCTCCCAGGTCCTAGATAAACACATACGGAATCTGATTGCCCATTCTGACCGTAATGGGGGAAGTTATGACTCATTTCACTGGTATCTAGTAGGTCTTTGGCCCTCAAAGGATCAGAGAATGGCAGAGCTGGTGGGAGGACATGGGTTGCATGCGGAAGGAATCACAGGCCCAGAGAGGACAGGGGCTGGTCCGCAGTCACAGAGCCATGCGTGCTAAAACCCATCCCAGCTAAAACCCATCCCAGCCCATGTCATCCAGGGTGAGAGGCTGCGCCCATGAGCCCAGCCAGATCGCATCTGCGGAGATACTTTGTAACTGGAAGTTCTGTACAAACACTACTTGTTCTAATCTGGCTCAGCCCCCTCATTTGGCCCGCCGCCTGGTTTCTATCTGCCGCCTGATTTTACATTTAGGCTCAGGGCTTCCCATCCTCTCTCCAGGTAGGGAACCCACCTGAGTTGGGGGGAGTGAGGCCAGAGGGCTTCCGGGTCTGCAGGCCAGAGCCCGGGAAGCTGCCGCCTGGCCTTGCAAAGCCTGGGGCCCCCAGGAGCCGGGAGACGCCAGCCCAAGCCCTGACAGGGAGGGGTGTGCCCTGCCTCCTCAAGGCCGATGAGATCAGCTTCCCTCCTAGATATAAACAAGCTGGGCAGAGAGGGGGGTGTGGGTGTGACGAGCTGAGAGGGCTGAGAACGGGTTTGGGAGCTGGTGACTGGCAGAGATTGGAGGTGAAATGGGGGGCATGGCATACCTCAGCCTCTATAGAGATGAAGACTTCCCAAAGCTTGGATGTAGCCGGGACCCCAGGTACCAGCTAGCCAACCTGTCTACTTACTAAAAGTGAAGCAGAGGCCCCGATAGAGGCACAGCCTGCTCAAGGCCACAGCGAGCGCCTCAGGCCCACGGAAGACAGCTGTGCAGTCTGTTCCCTTCACAAGAGCATCCGGCTGAGGGGTGACCTGGGGCCCAAACCCAGCGGAGCCCATGAGGAGGGAGGAGGGAGGCTGCACAGAGGATGGGAAAGGCAGGGAGGGGTAAAGAGGAGTTTGGCACCACAGAGGCCCCAACTGGACAGCCCTCCCAGGCGGGCAGAGCTCCCCTATCGAGAGGGGAGGGGAGAAGGGGAAAGGTTTGACCCCCAGGCTTGTGTGGGGAGGGCCATGCCATAAGGGGCTGCTCAGATCTGGGCTCCCCCCGATTCCAGAGGGAGGCCTGTTCAAGTCAGCCTGGCCCGGAGGGTTTGTAAAGGCCGTGCAGAGAGAACCTCCTGTGCTCTCTCTCTGCCATGAGGCCTCCCCCGTTTCTCTCCGAAAATGCTGGAGGCCGAGGCAGAGGGGCTGAGGGCCTGGCTGGCGTTGGAGAGAACGGAGCTTAGGGGGTCGTAGTAGCAGTAGGTTTAGCAGGCGCCACGCACTGCGGTGAGCACGTCATGTTTTTGCTTATTTCATCCTCACGACATCACCGTTGTCAGGAGTGAGGCACACACACAAGTAGCTTATGCAAGGTCACCCGGCTGGTGAGCAAGGAAGCAAGACTGGAGCCACCTGGCCTGGCTCTGGGGCCTGTGCTTGACCCGTGCTTGACACGCGCCTCCGGGCCCTTCTCTGGGCCTCCATTTCCCCATCTGTGAAATGGGACCAGCAGCCTGCCTGGCTGAGGACTCTGAGGTAAAGCTTCTTGGGCATTTCATCCACCCTGGCAAGTCCCTGACCCGCCCTCAGCCCGCCACCGTGACCTGCACCCGAGGAGCCCCTTGCAGACGCTGGAAGCCAAGGCAGTGACCAGGCAGCACACTGAGTTTCAGACCCAGCACCCTGCGGGCTCTCACCCCGGGTCTGCCCCCTCCGCTCCTCGGAAAGGCGGGCGGGAGAGAAGGCCTGAGGGCGGCGGGTCCAGCAGCTGATGTGGGCGAGGGGTGACGCTGCCCGGCTGGGAGGTCAGGGGCTGGGCAGGCGGCTGTAATTAGAGCCCCGGTGATTCAGGTATTCCCTGGGGAGGAGGGAAGCACACAGGAAGCCACAGAACCCCCACATCCCAGGG